GGCAATGGCCAGATTCTCCACTCAAGACATGAGTGTATGTGGCTAAAGCGCTCTCGCTCAAACTCCACCGGCTTTATCATCGGTGAGGCGGTTGAGAGAGTAGCGCAGGGATTTGGGTATATATTGTATATATTGTATATCGGTATGACTGTATTTTTATATTTTTAATTTACTTATATTTAGGTTATTTTATTTTTTTTATTGTATATAGTTTTTATTTATTATTATTTAGTTATTATTTTACTTTTGTTAATTTTGTTTCTTTTTTGTATATACGGTGTGAATGTGTTCATTTATCAATATAATTATTGTCTCTGTAACAGAATATTATATGTCTAAATAAATAAAAAAAAAAAGTTATAATTTGTACGTATATAATGTGTGAATGTTTAATTTAGCCCTAATATTAATGCTCTCCAATGTGGCAAAATGTATTAATTTCCAAATAATAAAAAAAAAAAGAAAAGAAAGTTAAGATGTATAACTGGCTGTATAATGAATTTGTTGAAGCAACGCTTTATAAGTAAGTTTAAATAAGTAATTATCTCCCTCCGCTGGAAATATCCCTAGAGTTTAAAGTTAAGCGAGAAGACTATTAATGTTAATATCCGTATTACAGTTACTTAAAAAAAAAAAAAAGAAGAAGAACTCTGTTATTAATTTATTACCAGTGAATTCTAGCTGAAGGTAAAACATTGTGGCTAACAAACAATGTAACATTGTAAAAAGTTCCATTTTGTTCGTTACTGTGCCTTACGATATTAATATTCAAATTATTTTTGTAAGGCCTTGTAAGATATTTAATATCCAAGACCATGAACGGTAAAATAAAATGGTTGTCATGTGCAAAGTAGTCATATAAAAAATACACAGAAAGCTAATGATGAAAGGACGTCCAAATAGAGATAGGTTAATATTATACATATATAATGAGATGTATGAATAATCTATAGGCTGGCCCTAAGATTCTAATGGTGATGAGATACAGATTTGCGGAGAAATATCATGAGAATGATATTGAAGAACCTAAGGTTCCTTTCACTGAGGTTGAGTTTGAATTTTCTTGTTTACTTTATACCACACTTTTCTTGCGACAGTAGTACTCAATACTCTCCATGGCTAGCAGTGTTACTGGTTTATTTTTATCTATTTTAGAACCTAATAACTTCGTATATAGTTTTCTGAATCTCAATACGTACACTCGACTCCGTAATGTAAATGTATTAGTAAATGACATTTTTAAACTCACTAACATATAATAAGCTTTACATGCCTAAAAGAGAGTGCAAATACAATTAGATTTGAAGCTAGAACACTTAGGAAGGTGATAAATGAACCTAAGGTGATATCATGCCTCAATAGCGGATTGGTTTATTTTTTAAATTTATTTTTCAATGGAGCAAGGCTCGGTGTTTGTTTAAGGGAGCCTTTTTTATTAATTTTTTTTAGGAGAGAGGTTTGGATTTTACATTTTATTCATCTCTAGTTTGTCTAAAATTAAATTTATTATTTAAAACTGTGGAGTTTCTTATTTTTTTTAAAAAATTATATAAACATTAAGGAGTCGAATGAAAGTGAAGGTATCTGAATAACGAATATGTTCATTTTAGCTTCTAATGTCATATCTGTTCTGACCAGGAAGAAGGTAGCGTAAAAGTGAATGACACAGTTTTAATCATTGTTTCATTGGAAAAATAACACACAAAAAAAATGTTTCAAGTGTCAAAAATATATTTGCAAAGCCCATCTTATAATTGATCCTCTGTAAAATCCTCAGTAAAATCATGCTATTTCGTGATCAATCTTATGTTTCATGTCATCAAGCTTACCTAACTTATGTTTGTATTTATTAGTCCAATATAAGCAACTGCATTAAATCACACAAATGTTTTCATTATTTTTTGCTTCTATTAAATATGTCTTTTATATTGAATATAAAAAAAATAGATAAATAAAAAACCTTTGCTTAGTATGATAAAATTAAGTAAAAAACAACAGAACAAAACATAAGTTTCAATAATTTAATATCTACATATATACAATAAGAAAATGTATAAATGCATATTAATCTGCGGAATACTGAATTTGAATTTAAACAACAGGGAAAAAATAAACATTACCAAAAAGGCAAACCACAGTCCGTGCGTCGCGTATTTCACGATTAAAAGGCACGCCTACCGGAAGCTTAAGATAAGACATTGGAACTTTTTCGGTCTTCACTGAACATTATTTAAAAATACATCAAAGAAAAATGTATTAGTAAACACTGTAAACGAGCAATAGACAGTGCCGTGTTTGCCAGAATTACATAATAAAATTGTAAATTTACAAATGTTCCAGTGACCATCTGATCATAATCAGTTGAGAAGAACATTAAAGATGGAATAAAGATGGAATAATCATCCTGTATTTATTTTATTTAACAACACTAAAAATAAAGTATGTAGTTAAAACAATAGACTTTTGTTATTGAGTTGATGGAAGGCATTCATGAACGTTTGTAGAAAAATAAAAATACCGTCTTATGGAAAGTGGAACAGCTTTCAACTCTTTAGTCTTGATAATTCCGAAGAAATATACAAAAGAGGATCGGGGAGGGGAGAGCGGCAGAAAGGAACAATTGGCTTCAGAGCTGATGGTTTATTCAGCACCTTCACAATAAATTGTCATCATTAGTCCAGCGCCTGTTCTCCAAACTGAAAGCAGATCCTGGTCTTAGGCAGCATCTAAAAAAAAAACTACAAGAAAATAATAAAGACATAAAAAATAACGTTTTAATGGCTTACTTTTCCTGTATCAAAAACTGAGAGGAGCAGAACGATTTTATTTATTTAATTTTTCTCACAATTATTATCCATAAATTGTTGACAATGAAAATATAAAATACTGTGAGATGTAATGCATAAACAGTACCCTGATACAGTGTTAACAAAATACAGAAAGATAATTATAATTCTCTATGCCTTCTTTAACTAGAAAATGGTTCACTATAATGGGTAATTGATAAAAATCGGCCAGAAACTAGTTGTGCGTGACCCAGCTAGCTGGAGAAAGGGCTCAGAGTCCCTCGGGACCGAAGAAGGTGGATGATGTCCCGCGGGACAGCCCCACTGCCTCACCTTCCGGAACCCTCGGCTTAGCGCCCATTGTCTATGTCCAAAGCTGTCGGACCTCTTGGGGACCTATCTGCCTCCGAACCTGGCTATTGTACGGCCCTTATCTATGTAATAAATTACTTGTGTGCTATTGTTCAAAATGAAATAAAAACAAAACAAACAAATACTACGCGAAATCTTAAAAACATGATTATTCTAAAACTGAAAATAGTGGTAGGCTCTACTAAAACTACTTAAAAGTTGTTTTTTATTTATTTAATGAAATTTACAACTGGGTAAACAATACAACTAGTAAAAATGTACACATTGGAAATCGTGACATGAACAGACTTGAAGAGATAATAATAATAATAATAATGCTTTATTTATTCTGGGACGAGTCCTTTTAGAATAATACAGAGAGACAAAAATGTGGAAGCCTCAGAGATACATAAACAAGAATATAGTTTGATTAAATAGTCCAAAAATAGATACTGCCCAGTGGCAGCACTTCATATTCAATTTTAGGTGGGAAGATCACGAGGCCATCTTCTCTTCAGACGCCTAGGGGGATTACCAGGAATTGAGGAAGAAGATAGGCTGGAAACAAGTGGATTCGGATGGGACTGGAGTTTATCATGACAGAATAGGTATCTGGCTCGGGCTAAATCAGCGGCATATGGGACATTAAGCTCTTTATGAATGGTTTTATTTGTGACAAAATATGGGACATTAAGAATTTTACGAAGGATTTTGGATTGTAAGCATTGGATACGATAGGAATTCGATGGTTTGGAAGAACCCCAAATCTCAACTCTGTATGTCCATATAGGTCTTATTATGGTTAAGTAGATGAGTCTTTTGTAATTAATTGAAAGTTTAGAGCGTTTATCTAGCAAGTGTTGGATCAGTCGAAAACGTCTAGCAGTTTCTTGTCCTTTCAGTCTAGTAGGCGGAAATTAAAAGTTAAATGTTTTATCTGTGGAAGAACTAAATCAACCGTGAATGGCTCGCTCTTCTTAAAAAGTAATCGCATGATGGTTAGTACGAGGATCTTTAGGACATGGCTCATCACTGGACAAGTTCTTTATGACTCCGAGTTATGTTTGAGGACGTGATGGCACAAACCGTTGGTCTCAGGGGACCCGATTTCTAAACATTGTGGATTCGATTACCTGAGCTGTTTATATTTATTCCTTAAGGCGCCTGGAAATTAATATTGACCATTTCACTCTTTTTTTTCCACTATCTCGCATTTTCGGATATACGGGGTTTTTATTTGGGTCAGGGGAGAGATCAGGGGATTAATGCTTGATAAAAGCCTCTGACACACAGTCGCAAACTCGTAATTTTATATTAGCAGGTTACCTTGCTTGGCCCTCCGCTTTGATGAAATCGCTGCAGTAACCTCAAGGTAGACGTCTGGTATTTGAAAAAAAGTTCTTTCCACCACTAGCAGTATCAGTATCATTAGGGTGTTGCTTAATTTTCCTTTCTCCTTATAGTGCAGTATCAAATCGTCAATTTTCCATTTTACTGCTGAGTATGGTCGTTCGACACCGGGCGAGTATGGCTGATGAGGCATTACCTCCTACCCCAATTCATTGCTTTGTTTTCAAGGTTCGTTTTACGCTATACGATATTGCATTTTAGTGTTGAAAAATAACGCCTTTTCTGTTGACAATCGCTGGCCACTTTTCAATTTAAGATTGATTCTCACGATCCAATAAAGGGCTGCATTCACAGTTTGTCCAAGTTTCAACACTTCATAATGAACAACGCCGGAATACTCCACCTAACACGCAAAGGGCCTTTTTCGGTATGTAAACCTGGCATAGCAGTACTTCGTGGCGATTCTTATGGAAAGAGCCACTGCCCTTTGCGTTCTGGATTATCATACAAGATCTATTCATCATCTACGGTGATCAAGCGATCGAAAAATGCTTCTGTATTGTGTCGTTGAAGCAATAAGTTACATACGGAAGTTTTCAAATCTGCTGCAAATGTTCTTGGATGGTCGACCAACGTTGTTTGGGACTGTTTGACAATTCCTCTATTATTTGATACGGATTTGCTTCTTGCCGTCTTTGACAAGTCATTGTCTAACGTGGTTGGTCTTCCTGATCGATAACCTCTGGGAAACTCAAATCAAATTCCCGGATTTTTTTTTTATTTTGTTATTCGCAACTGAAGATGTCACTATAATCTTAGAATGTCTTTGCCACGATATATTTCTACACAATGAGCTGCGACATTAATTAAACGACATTAATTTCCGGTTCCCCTAATAGAAAGTGACATTAATTCAAATTATCTTTATTAGATTCAAACACCTAACTAAAGGAATTCATTGATTAAATTAATTTAAAAACAAAATGAAAAAACGGTGTTGATTGTGGAGATTATATCGAAAGTCCCTCATGGACTATAGTTATTCGAAAAACACTTAAAATAGTGCCTAATAGAAGATCATTTATTTATGTATTATATTTACAGAGAAAGAGGTATCCAGGAAATTGTATTTTCATCCTCCTATAGCCTGTACCTAAGTTTTATATTATTTAATTATCTTAAACATAAATGACGAACTAATTCAGGATTCAAAAATAAATTATCGAACTAATTCCAAGTAAGGTGGACAATTAATTAGATGTACTTTTTATATAGTTATAGATATTTAAAATATAAGTATTATGGTAAAACAATATATAAAATAATGCTAAATATTAGTAATTATATCATTTTATTCTTATAATTAACCGATAACCATAAAATAAAAGAGTTAACTTTATATTTGTCAAGATATCGTGTATTAATTAATTAATTAATAATTTACCAAATACCTGATCACTCAAAGCTATGATAGTAATGTCTTAGTTAGTAATATCTTAATTAATCTACTCCAATCAAACATTTTTATAAGGTATCAAAAAATCTCTTTATAATTCACATTTTAAAATGAATGTTACATAATTTATATGCTCCGAATGAATAAAAGAGGTCATTTTAATTAATCATTGGAAAGTCCATAAAGGCTTATGCATCTCTAATTAGTATATGTATAAATTAATGCTTCAAATACAATTAGATGTTCGATGAACCTAGACGTAATTCTTAATATTCAGATAAGGAAAAAAAAAAAAAAAAAAAAAAAACGTTGGTAGAAGAACATCAATATGCAGGGACATATCCGGAAAAAATTGAGTTATTTTTTTGTTGAACGGAAGAACGGATTCTCCCAATATACATATCACAATGAAATGGAATAACCAGGAACCATTCGCAATTAGAAATATACGACCGGCTGAAATAGAAGAAATTTCCAATTCAATACGAATTTATACTGGGCGAATGAAATTTCCAGAACAAACGACGAAGGATCCCTTTTAATCTTGTTAGTCCTGACATTTTCAAAAATAGTACCATAATCAAAATTATTGCTGTAAAATAGTAATATATTCATATATCTTATAATGTTTTGCGTTTTTTAACTAAACTGGTTATCAAAATATACGAAGAAAGAATTTCTCGACTATATTGAAATGATTTCTGTAAATATTCCGATATCTAATTAGATAGAATAAATAAAAGTTTTAATGAGAATGAATATATATTAACTTAAAGTTATTAAAAACAACAAAAATATTTTGAATCAAATAATTAAACAGCTAGTTAGTTATCATCAAAGGTAGTTGTTGTTGCCGTTATTTATTTGTTGCTGGTTGATACATATTTTTTTGTCCTCCCCTTGCTCGCCTTTTAGACTATACCAGGTTTCCCCAAGCCAGGGAGTGAGGGCGAGGGATTAATGCAAGTTTTAAAAGCTCCCTCCCTCTCTCACCCGGCACCGGGACGCGAACTCGTAACTATGATATCAAATTATCTTTCATCTGGTTGCCGGACAACGCAGTGCTATGCACACGCATTAACTCGCTCGGACACCCCACACTCTATAGGCGTTGATACATCAATAAGAAGAAATAATAATTATTTTTATTTGTTTTTGCCTCTACCCTAGAGGGTCATTGGCGGCAATTCTTGATTTTTATATTCTATTATACTGCTTTGTTTCTAATAAATATTGAAATAGAATGATGACATCTTCTTCCTTGTCTCCCAAAATATCTTTCAATGTCGTCGAAAGCTTTAATTTTTGTCTCTCTTGTTCATATTGGGAGCACTCTAATAATAGATGTTAAATTGTCTGAGGGGTGTTGTCACACTTTTGGCAGGTTGGTGCTTCGAGACCTCTAAGAAGGTATCCGTGTGTGAAAAGACAGTCTCCAATTCTTATTCGGCATCATATTACTTCTTCTCTTCTCGATTTTCTGGAGCTTGTAGCCCACGTGTTGCACTCGGTTTTTATTTCTGTTAGTTTGTCTCGTTTTGTTTTCCAATTTTTTAATAGTTTTTTTTTGTTTCATAGAACCAATCTTCAACGGCGATGCAATTTATTGGCGTTATACCTGGTACCTCTCCCTTCCTCGCCAAATGAGCAGCTTGGTCTGCTTTTTCATTACCCGTTATGCCACTATGGGATGGAACCCACATAAAGACACTTACTCATCTTTTTCTCATCTTTCACCATACGTTTATATAATAATAATTTAAATTAGTTTCTTTTTTAATAATTTGTTTCTAATTCTGTTTTTATAATTGATTATGGTCCTATTAATTTCTTGTTATGTTCAATATCATATTCACATTATATGAACGAGTTTTGAATGAAGAATGTATTGTACATTCGATTGACCACGAAATGAAGTTTATATCACTTATAAATATATAAATCAAATGATGGGGATACGTTGATTAGCCATTCTTCTTTGAGCTTGATTACACGTATGAACTCTAAGCCTCAGTAAAATATTGAAAGCGCCCGGAAAACAGGCTGTATTTTCATACTGGAGAAGAAATAATTTATAAACGCTACGTTTTAACAGCTCAAGCGACTAACCATTACCCACGAACACTTTATTAATATGCAGGATTTCGTCACATTATTGAATAATAATATTTTTATATCTACAGCTGAGTGTTAATGGTTAATAAAGACCTATTTATTCCAACCTGAACGTAGATAATTGAGTGTAATTAGTGGATTAAAAATGAGGCAAGTTCTCATACCAGGAATAAATTTCTAACATTGAATCAAAAGTTTCTTTGACTCAATAATAAACATTCTTGTAGGAACATTTTCAGACTATTTATTCCGGACAAATAAAGCATCATATCTTACGTTTTGCGTTTTATACTATCAATAAATTTGGTCTATTTTAACAATAACTATTTATTGTATGAACCTTTTTTAACTATGTATTAGTACAAACAATAAAATCATATTTTTGTTTTTAGTGTTTATTTGGAATATGAATATAGAAATACATATATATATATATATATATATATATATATATATATATATATATATATATATATATATATATATTTTATTAAAATTAAAAATGTCTACTCGTATTTTACGAATTCTTATCACGGGCATGACACCCTATACAGTTAATATGATTTTGAGGAAATTTTCAGAGATTGCACGGATAAGTATTTATTAGGTCCCATATCAGTTATATTAAATTTCATCTACTACTTTTGCTTAGGCTAATGCAAACGTAGTTTCTTGGAAAAACTTACACTACGCATATGGTTCAGTGTAAATTTCATCAAATTCCATATATGTGGGTCTTTTTCCAAAATATGTCTAATAAAACATTAAGTGTGCTTCCTATACACGTTTGATGTTTCTGGAAGCTATGCTGATCTACTTGATATACTTTTCTATAAATGGTATATATAGTACATATAATCAAAGCTCGTAAAGAATGTGTTTCGATACTCGTGTTTCGAGATAAAAAATAAATTATATTTCAGATTGAAATACTCTAAATCGTAGCAGTACAAGCGTTTTCAGCCCCGAATTGAAAGGTGATGCTTAAATATTATACCATTTAATACTCGAGTTTCATACTTTCACATTACCCCCTAACAGACCATGACAGATGACTTAGAGCCTTTTCGATAACGCAGGATTGAGCAGATGGCTTTCATGGGAGCGTTGAAGACATGAAATGCTTCCATTTACATCAATCCAGTTCATTGACAGCTGTGCCGGGAAGTGCCAACTGATTGAAAAGGTTCGATTTGGGATCCGATTCACATTGGCTCGCTAAATGTCATAGGTAACACTGATAAAGCTGATCCAGTCGACAAATATGAACCAATGTGAAATCCGAATGATTTTAATTCCCTTTGTATAACGTTAAAATCAGGATTCCTCTTTTGGTGTTTACGACCATGGTGCACATGTTCAATTCCCGAATATATATAGACAGAGTAGATGGTAGTTTTCTTAGAATTCTGACAGTTTTTTTTTTAATTACCTAAAACTGCACTGCTCTTCAACGCCATTACCCTCTGATACAGTATAGTGATCTAAAAATGTGATACAGTAAACTTGAGCTAAAAATAAAACCAAAATTTCTTCTTTTTGCTGCACATAAAGGAAAATTCATTAAGTAAAAACGTTCAAAACAAGTAGAATAGAACTTTCTGGGAACCATTCCAATGGTCTTTCGAATATTTTTTTTGTACTTACCTTTCTAAGCTTTAGGTTCAATGTGGTTTTCTTGAGCTAGGGTGTAAGGGTGGGGAATCAATGACACAGTTATAAGCCTTCCAGAGACCGGGACGCGAATTCGTACTTATTTTATTTTGCATAACTTCGGTTATCAGGTTGGACTTCGAAAATAGAGGAAGAGCTCAACTCACTGTAGGGATGAGAGACATTGCAATGTCTTGTGGTACCAATTACAAATGTTGAGAGAACGCTAAACGATAATTTTAAATTAGTCAAAATAGCAGTGCCATCTATCGGCAAAGCTGGCAGAGAACTACATGGTGACCTGAGACCAGAGGAGTCGAAGTACAACTCAGTCTGAGAGAGTCGGGGAAATGGTCTTCATCCCCAAGTATGCTCAAGATATGTTTTGCTAGACCAATCTAAAGAAGTGGCCAGGAAAAGGCAGAATGGAAGTCTGCATTCCAGTACATCACATTCTCAGCACACAGCACTACCCATATGTACCGAAGCAGCAGAAGTACCTCGATGGGGACTAATGACCTCCATCTCACCATGCCACCAGCCAACAACTACATTATGCCAGCAGTATCTACCACCAGATCACCCCAATGATTACAAATAAATTCTGATACTGACCTACTAACCTCCTATGTATATATTTTGGTACTCCATTGAGAGACTAATGTATCATTAATTTATTATAAATCAGGCCGTTTTCCACCAACATTTTATTTATTATTTCGACAACATTTCGACCATAACTAGGGTCATTTTCAAGTCTTATTTATTGATTCCTCCATTATATTTCCATTCTCTGTCATATTAATTCTTCTGAGAAAACTGTCCTGATATATATATATAGTTATATATATATATATATATATATATATAATATATATATATATATATATATATATATATATATATAGTTATATATATATATATATTGAAAGCGGGGTAGCTCAGTGGGTGATGACTGACTTCTAGAGTTCATGGTCCCTGGTTCGAATCCGTCTAATGACTAGTAATTTTTCATCAGGAGTGGGGTTGACTCTGGGGCCGAGAGACCCTTCTGGGGCAAACCTAGCCCCTATAAAGTGTTAATCTTAATTAAATAATTAATTAAGGGAAAAAACCTGGCGGATGAGCGTGATATTGTCCCGTCATCTTCCCGCACAACCGTTGGCCTTGTAACAGTACTTCCTCACATTGTACTGAACCCATCATTTTAGTGGTATAGGTTTTTTTTATATATTGAAAATAATTAACTGTAACGGTCATAAAATAAAATTGACGTAATTGAAAATCCTTCATTGTATATCTTGCATGACTTGACCTTAAAGGTTGCTTCTAGTAATGGCTGCCACAAAATTTGCTCAGTTAGAATGTCGACAAGTCCCGAAGGAGTTGTCCCAGAATACAAATGGCGTCCTTTAAATGCATGACACCGACCTCAACCTATATTTTCCGACCACCGTCAGTTGTCTTCAGTCACGTTGTAAAGCTGTGTACGGCGAAATTTCCGCTATCGAGGCGTCAGATCCTTTCGTTCCAAAGAATATTTAAATCTAAACCTCTTATTTTACTGTGTCGCTCTGATAGAAAAAAAATAAATAAATAAAACTCTAGTTAAATAATACAAAAATCTGAATATCTTAGCCAAGATAAATATTGAATAAGTTCATTTACCAATGTAACAATTTTTACAATAACAAAAAAAAATGTTATAGCACAAATTTTAAATTAATACTAAAGATTACAATTGGAATATTAAAAACCAAAAAGGCCATTATACTCACTTCTTTCAAGATGTTCAAAATTAAAACTAAAATAGAAAGTGAACACTTAAATTTAGCAACTTAAACCCATTTGGATTGGTGCTTCACAGATATATGAGACAACCAGAAAGACCCACATATGTAAACAACACAATGTGTAACAGTTCACTACTACAAAAGATTTCATAACTTACACGGACATATTAACACACTCATATGGTATAGTCACAATTTAGAATTAAAGTCTTATTTAATCTAAATAATCTAAGAATAATTAAAGAAATATATTTTAAAAAATGAATTAATTTTAAAATTACAATTGCTTCTAAAATATCAGCAAGCAATTCTATTAACGGTTGTTCTTATAACTGTTTCTGAACTACGTTCCAGAGATATAGTTATAGACAAATAATTTAGGAACTCTATAAGACTTGGAAGGAAATCCTTGACATTTATTCCTGCTGGACTCCAAGAATAGCTCCAGAACTGCTCCAATGGATTCCTCGTCTGAGAGATAGGACATGCTTCGTTCGCTCTTTCAATATTCCACTCATCCAATAAGAAATAAAAGATTGGAACGGAGATTTGATAGACTTCCAACTTCCCAAAGGCCGGATTCTGTAGAATAATAATATTTATCTAAGGTTTTGATCAGTTGTTCAATAATCAACATTCTTTAAAGTTTTCCAGCTTGTCTGAAAATTATTCTTTTGATATAATTATTCGTCATCTTCAATTTATTAATAAAGCGAAATTGCGGTAATAACATATCAATTGATTCATTATCATCATCATCATCCATGCATTATCAACATCATCATCATCACCCGGATCATTCCATAGAACTAATTCAGGACAGTTAAATTAAAAAATATCTTACATAGAAACAGACGATCAACTGCATAAATGTGAGAGTAACTAACACAAATACAATACTATTCATATACCTAGTGGTAAATGCTTAATGAGTATTCATGTTAAGCAGTCAACATATATTTTAAATATTATATAAATGATCCTTGTGTGCTAAACTCTTAAAGTGTTATTAGTTATAGTAAAGTTATGGTTGTATTGTAAACGATTAAGAAAGAATTGAACACAATAAAACCTCACTATAAGCTTCCCCGTTCACTAAAAAAATTAGCACTATTTTACCGGACCCAAGATTGTCTTAAAAGCGAGTGTGATAGAGGCCATATTTAATACAAATATCTTAAATAAGTTTCTCGACTTAAATACATTTACAGATAACATACAAGTAGAGGTTACAGACGTAGTGTCAGACGCACTGATCACCGACCCATGTGCGAGGATTCTTACTCATCCAGGAAGCTGAGAAAAAAAAGTTCAAAACATATTAACATTTTTATATTATTTTTTCCTGTTTTTGAAGTTAACTAGTGTTACCCAAAAGCGGTATTGGTGTTGCACTTTGTAAGACCAAGACCAAGACCACCTAACTGCTGCAAGACCAAGACCAAGATTAGTAAAAAAAATAAATAGATTTTTTAAAGTAAAAATTGAGGCGAAATAGTTAATAATTTTAGTTACTACATGCAATAAATTGGTGTAACCAATATACTTTTGCATTTAACTCCTCTAATTTTTCATTCAGGCTGTTAGGCTTCTCATAATCCATCTTTTCTAAAAAAATACAGTAATATCTCTATAGTAATAAGTTAATAGGTAACTGCAAGACTTTTGCGAGACTCTTGCGTAAGTCCAAGACCAATACTGAGTAAGCAAGACTTGGTCTTAAATTTATGCGAAACTGTTCCTAATATATTTATCTATTTGTTCTTCTTATTTTTCTGTAAAATACAGTAGCAAATTAAGATTATATTAAACTAATTCAAATTTATAACAAATAAAAATAAAAGACGCTTCCATTGATTTCTAGCGTCCTTTAAAACTTTTAATTTCGAAAGCCATAAATTAAACTTGAATATTTATTGAAATAACAGATAAAACCCTCGGACGAGAGTCAATTTTTTTCGACCTAGTATCACGAAAAAAAAGTTATATTGAAGTCGCAGATCCTACACCTGTAACCTTGATTTATGTTAGATTTTAGATTTATTGAACTTGGACTTATTATATTGAAAAACATAAACTCGAGAGCCACAGGTAATAAATAGACAAGAATAATTGTAGGCAGGTAGTTTACATTGTTGGCAGTTACACTATCATTTACATAAGCTGGAACGACCAGGCGTATAAATATTGTATACTTGACGATCCTGCAAAGACCCAACTGCGTAAAGATTGTACAAGAGGTAGGTGTCAGAATGCATGCTCCAAAGGCAGAAGAATCACTTACGTCAATGGAGAAACCGGCGCTCAACATTAGTGTTTTGTAAATTAATAATTTCCTACCAGAACGCTACCTAGCGATAGGTTGCGTAAACAGAGATAACTAAGAGAATCTGTCTGAGGTATTGTCTCGATTTCATTCTTTGCTGAGGCTTCTTAGAAGGACAAACAAAAGAAGGGACATGTGAAGGGGTCTCGAATATCAAGTAAGAATTCCCTTTTGCCTGCAGAAAGGGTGAGTTACTTTTTTTTCATGATGCATATGACCCACTAGTTACCTTGAGATACAGTCCACTAGCGAATTATTGCGTATGTTTTCTCATGTTACACTTATACAGTTGTTATTTGCCTCAATAACTTGACCTCAACAAGATTTTTCCTATGAATCGATCAATAGCAGGAATAAAATATATTTTTTAGCGGACTAAAATCTAGTAGTAAATAACCAGGTAAGCTATTGCATTCCTTTAAAAATAAAGCACATAATGTAATAATGCATTAAGAACAAATGAATTAACTTTTCTAAGCCTCTAGAAAATAAAGTAAAACAATAACTTCACTGCTAAGTGCCATCATTTAGAACTCTTCATCGATCCTGCCGGAGGGAGGGCAAGTTTACAAGAAGTCAGGAACCAATAAAATATAGAAGTTGCAGAAGAACTTTTTCATAAGAGGAACAGGCCGGGACAGGTAGATCCAACTCTAACCCTCCATCGTTCTCCCTCCCCATCTCTCCCCCACGCCAGTTTGGTGAGCTATCCTTTGATAGCTGTCTCATATATTGCCCCTCGGCTGTGTCAAAAAGAACTGACCGGTGACTAGAAGGCGGGTTATGTAAAATGAAACAGCACAGCGGTCAAGAAGATACATATCCATATATGAATCCTATTATCCATCTCTTAAAAAAAAGTCTCTATTTTGTTTTATTTGTAAAAGATAAAAATCAAATTGGATGCAATCATATTTTGAGTTCGCATTTTAAAATAATTAGTTGTAGGACCAAAGAGGACTATGCTTAACTCGCAAGTTATATCAATCCCTATAAAACATATCTATCGCTGGCTGCGAGATCAGAATTTAAATATTTTATATTTAACTATTTAGGGATCCTCATACCAGACTGAAACGACAAGAAACCGATCGACGTTTCCGATTGCTTCAGCACTTACTAAACAAACGCTCTAAACTTCCAATTAATTACAAAAGACTCATATACATGATTATAATAAGGCCTATGTGGACTTACGGAGTTGAGCTATGGGGCTCCACTAACCCATCGAATTCCTCTCGTATCCAACCTTACAATCTAAAATCCTTCGTAAAACGCTCAATGCGCCCTACTTTGTTACAAAGAAAACCATCCATGATGACCTTAACGTTTCTTATGTTTCAGATCTGGCCCAATCCAGATACCTATCCTTAAATAATAAACTTCAGAATCATCCCAACCCTCTCGTTTCTAACCTTGCTTCCTCTTCAATTCCTGATAATCCTACGAGGCGTCTGAAAAGAAGATGGCCCCTTGATCTCCTGATGTAGACATATCATTAGAGTGCTACAATTGGGTAGTTACTCAGCAAGTGTTTCCATGTCATTATATCCATATGTTCAAATTTACTAGATGTATTTATTTAATACAGTTGTAAATATCATTAAGAAATAATTTTAAAAAAACTATTTAACAGATAAAACTCATTATACCCAACTGACTAACAAACTAAAATCTGAAATTAAAAAATACAAAATTCAAAATTTATTAAATTTTACTGAAAAACTTACACCTACCGACAAATCACTATGGACGACCACTAAAAGGCTCCTGAAATTTAAAGACTGTAATCATCCGCTTCTTACTGAAGCTCAAACCTGGTCAAAATCCGATGAAGAAAAATCACAAATCTTTGCTCGTCACCTCTTTAAAACCTTTAATCCACACCCCGATATTCTTAACCCAAATCACCTTGAATGTATTGAAGCAGAACTGGATATCCCACTCCAAATGTCTCTTCCACCTACAGCCTTTCATCCTTCAGAAATATCCGACATCATTCAAAGGTTACCTTCCCGAAAAGCTCCTGGACACGACCTAATTACATCCCAGATCCTAAAACTCCTTCCTCGGAAAGCCATTCTATTTCTTACTTATATATATAATGCTGTACTGCGATCAACATACTTTCCTGACCCTTGGAAATTCTCTATTATCAAAATGATACATAAACCCAAAAAGCCACCAGAAAACCCATCCTCTTATCGCCCTATCTCCCTTTTACCCATCCTAGGCAAAATCCTGGAAAAGCTCATCCTAAAACGCCTGTACCCCATCCTAGATTCTAATCACATTATCCCAGATCATCAATTTGGATTCCGCAGATCCCATTCCACTATCCAGCAATGCCATCGTGTGGTGGATGTTGTCTCCTCTGCATTGGAGCGCGGAATGTACTGCACGGGAGTCTTTCTCGGTGTAGAACAGGCTTTTGATCGAGTCTGGCACCCAGGACTGCTTTACAAACTCCGTAAATTCCTACACCCTACATACTTCCTCATTTTTTTTTTTTTTTTTATTTGTTTTCCACCCTCCCATGCCACCAGGGCAACACGGGTGTATGCAGTAGTGTGATGTTAAGCATTAATGCATAATAACACACTACTGCCATAATATCAGTTTACAAAATTCTAAGCTGTGCACACAGCTAGCTCTTCTACTTTTTCCTGGCTCCTTTAGGCCTGGCTTCCCGAATCCGGAGGTCTTCCTGGGACTGGTCCTCTTCTCCTGCGTGCACCTAGGTTAAAGTGAGCTGGGCCCACCGCCGTCTTCCAGCCATTTATAAACTCTTTGAACCGCGAGAAGTTTTCTTCACTCACCAACTGAGGAAACTCCTCCTCAGTGAGGACGTAAATCCCCGTGGTTCTCATTAACCTCGCTCTTAATTCGTCGAAAGCAGTGCAGGCCGTGACCACATGCTCAACAGTCTCCGGAACACCACAATCGGGGCAGTGGGGATCTATATCCTGTCCGTAGCCATGGAGTTTAGCTCTGAAACCCCCATGTCCCGTGAGAAATTGTGAAACCCAATAGTCCGGGAGGACCCATTTCGCCTGTAACCGAGATTCAACGGTGGGAAAGTATTTTCTTAAGGTACTGCCTTTCGGAGTCGTCACCCACCGTCTGCTCCAATCTTCAATTGTTTCCTCCCGGATAATCTTTTTCCATTTATTTGGGTTTTCAATAATCCTCATCCGTAGGTTCTCCGATAGACTAGTTGAGCCCTCCTTCTTGTAGTCATACCTGGTCACTTCTTCTCGCAGGAGGAGGTCGAGAGGCACCACCCCCGCTAAGACCTGCACTGCTTCATGCGACGTAGACCTATATGCTCTGGTGACCCGAAGCAGAGCAGTTCTCTGAGTCGATGCTAGCCTATTTCTTTGTCTGAGTGTGAGGTTTCGGAACCAGAAGGGAGACGCATACCTAAGGATACCCTCCACAACACCCTTATAAATAGTGATAGTGGCTGGATACCTAAGGCCCCAAAATGCGCCCCCCACACGACTTAGACCGTTCATTGCTAGGGCCACCCTACCTGCCAGATATTCCAAATGAGGCGTCATATTGAGGCCTACACCTAACCTAACCCCTAGGTAGGTTACCACCTCACTTGGACGTATCCTCTGACCTTCTATGTACATCGTTATAGGGTGTGCCCTATCAGTCTTTCCCTTAAGGAGGATGGCTTGAGTCTTAGCAGCAGCCATCCTCATCTTCTTCCCCTCACACCATCTAGCGACTAGGCTGGCGCATCGCTCTGCTTCTCTCTTGACTCCAGCTCTGCTGTTGGCGGCCACCACAGCAGCTAGGTCGTCAACGTAAGCAGTGGCAGGAAACCGCTCCTCCTCTAACACTCCCAGTAACTCATCAAAGACAAGCTTCCATAGAGCAGGACCAAGCACCGATCCCTGAGGGCAACCTCTCTCTATGGAAGCTTCTACCTCGTAGTAATTGCCTCTAATCTTGACACTTCTATCCTGGAGATAACTTCTTACTAATGTGTATAAGTTACTAGGAGCATCATACCTCTGCAGCTGCTGGAGCACGCTAGGCCACCATACGCTGTCAAAGGCGGAGGATATATCGAAAAGAAGCAACATGACATACCGCTCCGCCCTCTCCTCAACATCTCTGCGCACTCTCAGCAGGGCATCAGCGGTTCCTCTGCCTCTGGTTGATCCATATTGCCGTGGATGACTTGCTCTAGCGAAAACAGGCCGTAAACTAGTCATCATGAGGTTCTCCAGGACCTTGCTAATCACAGGGAGGAGACATATAGGTCTATATGAATTAGGGAGTTGTTTGTCCCTATCTCCTCCCTTGTAGAGTAGTCTCAAATCAGCGATCTTCCATCTTCTTGGAAAGTATCCCATATCCAGACATTCATTGAAAATACTCAACAGCCGGTCTTCAATATACGTGATACTGTTCCTCAAGATCGCTGCATCTATTGCATCAAGTCCTGGAGCACGATTAGTCTTCTGCTTATCCACGGCAATACGAAGATCGTGAATGTCCCATGGTGGGCACAAATCTGAACCAGGTGGATATACCGTGGTGCGTCTCACAAAATCATCATTTTCGCTGTCCTGGGTTGGGTCATCTCTGGGATATATTGCTTCAATGAAAACATTGGCAGTTTCTTCAAGGGTGGTTGCCTCAGTATTATGATACCGCAAGGCTGCAATAGTCTGCATCGGGGACAACTTACCCAATGCTACCCTATACGGAATACCCCAGGGATTCTTCGAAGACTCTTCAATGATGAAATCATCCCAAGACTTCCGCTTTTGTGAGCGAACCTCGTTTCGGTATATCCTGGCTTTTGACTTGTACTCATTGCGAAGTACAGTGCGCCTCTCTTCGCATCTGCACCTCTGATATGACCGCCGGGCCTTGTAGAGGTCTCGTTTTAGAACAGTTAAGGCTGGCGTCCACCATGGGACAGGTCGAACCCTCGCCTTCCGGTGCTTGAGGGAGTGTTCGGCAGCATCACGAATGTTGTTGGTAATCCTGGACACCTTGTAGTCCAGATTGTCAACTACATCCATCTCTGCCGCTTCCCACTCCTCGTCTGCAATCACTCCTTCCAGGTAGGACCTGAAGACACTCCAGTCATTTATTTTAGTGACGAAACCCTTATCAGTACCGTGGGAACATCCTGGCTCATTTACCAGGCCAATTGCTATCGCAACGTGATCGGAACTCGTATCAGATCTGAGAGTCCAATCAGCAATATACCTCGTAAGCGCAGGCGTGGCGATCGTGACGTCAATCCAACTCTGCCCCATGCCTCCAGAGAAGGTAGGGGTGGCAGAGGGTTCGTTCATCACGACAAGGTGATTTCTGCCTATGAAATTTCCCATTTTAGCGCCTCGCCTGTCAGTAATATTGGACCCCCAGACCGTGTTCCAGGAGTTGGTATCTGAGCACATGATCACATTCCTCATCTCTCTAATGATCGCCTCCATAGCGGATATGCTTTCTTCTACATCACTATTCACAGGTAGGTATGCCGATACCAATGTGAAAGAAATCTTGCCCCACTTAACGTAGCAAGATGCATAATCCGCCATGGTGTGTTGCCTCAGATCCATCACGTCAAGGTTAGGATTATTAATCACTATTGCAGCCCTGGGCCTCCTCTCTCCACTGCTCAGGGCTATAACTCTTGACGTGAGGCCAAACCCCGTAACCCTGTTCCCACGGCAGCTAGGTTCCTGGACCGCCATGATATCGTAGCGTTGTGCCATGGCGCGAAGCTCGTCAGCCACAATATGCCGGCGGCCCATATTCAACTGCAGGATGTTGAGTCTAATCATAGTGAGTTCTCCTCACTAATTCTTGAGATCTCTTGATGTGCACTGGGCATTCTCTACTTCCTGCCTGGTGTTTAGCCTTACTTTTTTGAACACCTTCCCTCACGCAGTTAACGCATGTAGGTGCGGTCTTATTTCCTTTTGCGGGACAGTTTTTAGCAATATGCCCACTCGCCGCACACCACTTGCATACTATGCCATTTGCCTCACAAGTAGCTTTTGTATGTCCATATCCCTGACACCTTAGACAGGGAGGAGCATCGGGGTAATCTAAGATTGTCAGTGACCACCAACCTCCTGTAATTATTTCCTCCTTGAGTAGATTATATCTTACCATTGGATGTACTTCTAACACCCAATTATTGGTAATTTTATTTCTAGCCATTGATGAGAACAATGGCTTTATATTACCTAATTGGTTCTCAGAAATAACGGCCGATTTTGCAGCCAACCTTTCCCATAGCACCCTTTCTAGATTTTCCGCACTCCATGAAAGGGGAACTCCTTTTACCTCCACTTTTGGTTTTCTTTTTAAGGCTAGTTTTGCCTCCATCCCAACTTCTTTTAATTTTTGCCATTCAATTATTTTTTTAGCATGGGCACCCTCATCTACACAAACTAAAACTGAGCCAGCTTTGGTCGCCCGTACAACTCTCGCCTTGACTCCTAGTTCAGTTGGAGAAGGCAGATTGTTGATGATGTCAGCTGCACTTTTACCTTGAGAAGCGATGGTAACATAAGTTGGTCTTGTAGTATCCATCGGTTTTAATGGAAGCCCTTTAACAATATCGGCCATCGTAGTCTGATGTGTAGACCTTTTCTTGGTCAAACTTTCCTCTGATATTGGTTTAGAGGCCTCGATCTCTTTGGCCACTTGTGGAAGAGCCTTTTTCCTTCTTTGCTTTTTCTTTACTTCCTGGAAACTTTCATTCTCCGTGGTCTCAATAATAGCGTGGGCATCGGCTAATAGCGGTTGTTCTTTAACGCATGGAAACTCCCGAGATGTCTGAGGTTCTGACAGTGGTCTTTGTATGGTTTTACTTTCCGACTTGAGTCCCTCGATAACCATAGGTACTGCTTTTTCCACTAATGCATTTACTATGATATCATACATTTCAGAGGAAGCTAATGTGTCCTTTACCACACGTTGTACTAAAAACGTTTTTTCATAGTTCTTATCATATATTGTCTCCATTATATCTATTAACTGCTGCATTTTCCCATTAACGTGCTTTTGTACCTTCGCACTCACGTTCCTGTCTGTTGCGTTCATGTAGACCCTGATGTTTTCTTTGATTCTACGTGCATCTTGCAGAAGACTATCGTCTACACGTTCTTTATCTGCTTCTTCTCGGGCGTCAGGAGATCCTTTCCTTTGCCTCTTTGCTGAAGGCCTTGGGCACTTTATAGCCTGTTCTTCCACCATTTCCTGCTCCATTGCTGATGCAATTTCATCAGCCATCTTACGCAATCCAAAATTAACAACTTTATACGTTGAAATAATGGGTGAACAACAGTAGAAGGAAATATTCAACACTCAAAATCTAACCTACGTTCGGGAAACTTATAAATTTCCTATCTTCAAAAGTAAGACTTTAATATGAACTTACCTTAGTGCTTCACCAACGTAATAGTCTCTAAACGTCCTTTTGGTTAGATTAAACCTTCGTGAAAACCACAAAGTTAACCTTAACCTCCACTGTTCACTCAAAAAGTTTATAAAATTAACTAAATAAACATAAACTAAAACTAAATCATGTTCAAAAAAAACTATAAAACACTAAAATAACACAAACAGTAGGAAACGATACAACAAAACTAACAAAACAAACTTGAAAAACACAAAACACTGAGAAGCACAATAACACTTTATCATAGGTAGATAACCTGTCACATACTTCCTCATTATCCGTTCCTATCTTACTGATAGATCCTTCAAAGTAAATCATAATAATGCCTATTCATCCCTTTTTTCCCAGTCCGCTGGTGTTCCTCAAGGTAGTATCCTAGGTCCTATCCTTAACACAGTTTATACAGCTGATATCCCAACCCATCCTAACACAGTCATTACCACGTACGCCGATGATACATGTGTCCTATCAGTTAATAACGACCCAACAATTGCATCCCAAACCCTTCAATCACACATCACAAACCTTGAAGAATGGTGTCAAAACTGGAGAATAAAAATAAATTCCAATAAATCCCATCAAATCACCTTTACCCTTCGTCGTAAACCTATGTCCTCTTGTCCTACAGTATCCTTTAATAATACCCCACTTATTCCTGTTGAACAAATTCGATATCTTGGACTCCACTTAGACAAACGTCTAACTTGGAATCCTCATACCAGACTGAAACGACAAGAAACAGCTCGACGTTTCCGACTACTCCAGCACTTACTAGATAAACGCTCTAACCTCCCAGTCAATTACAAAAGACTCATATACATGACTACAATAAGACCTATTTGGACTTACGGAGTTGAGCTCTGGGGCTCCACTAAGCCATCGAATTCCTCTCGTATTCAATCCTTACAATCCAAAATCCTTCGTAAAATCCTCACTGCTCCTTACTTTGTCACAAACAAAATCATCCATAACGACCTTAATGTTCCTTATGTTTCCGACTTGGCCCAATCCAGATACCTATCCTTCCATAACAAACTTCAGAACCATCCAAACCCTCTCGTTTCTAACCTTGCTTCCTCTTCGATCCCTGACAACCCTCAGAGGCGTCTGAAAAGAAGATGGCCTCGAGATCTCCTTTTGTAAATACATTTTTAGAGTGCTACCAATGGGTAGTTTCTCAACATGTGATTTCATGCTATTTTATTCCTTGTTCACATTTACTGAATGTATTTTTACTTGTAATACAGTTGTAAATATCATTAAGAAATAATTTTAAAAAAACTATTTAGGGTACTTCAGTACTTCAGGGTAAGCTAATATTGAAAATTAGTCATTTAAGCCCTGTTAGAGAACACGAATGAGAATAAAACCTACATTACTTTAAAAACTGCTTAATTTTCCACTAAAATCATGAATTTTATCGAAATAGTTAGAGCCGCTTTTGAGAAAATCGTAAACATGTGTTACATGGATGATATAAAGTTCCACTTTCGGTTAGCCGATTGTGACGAAAAACTTGCTATAACATCTCGGGCAAATGTGTAATTTCACATTCGTACGACTTTTCGTTTTTGAGCTAGAGTGTTCACATACACACAGACCATTTTTTGGGACTTGGTTGTTTGGACTCAAAACGTGTAGTTCTGTTAAAAACTGAGATTAGAAAATTTTCACGATCGCAATACTTCCCTTTACTATATATTTCATATCTTGGTAAGTGAAAGTAAAAACGTTCGGCAGCAAACTAACAAAACCTACCAAAACATAAGAACTTTAGCCCTCACCTTTAATGCTTGTTAAAACCAGCCTTCCCTATATTATTTATTTACTTTCCGCAAATCTCCGAAAAGGGGACGACAAAATCATTTGAGCATAGGAGCGTTCAAATACTTAATCTAAAATAAACTAACAAGATTATGAACTGTTTGTTTACAATTTAGTATATAAATGAAATTGTATCCAAATCGTACAACTTCATAGTCCATTTTTATAATTAAAAATTTAAAACTATATTCCAAAAGGCGCTAAGAAGTCCCACTTTCGTTAATTGTGACGCGTGAGGGGAGAATGGTCGATAACCCTTAACAGCTGTTTTAATTGTTCGGGCAGGGTTTGTTGTTCCTATAGCGCAGGCCATCGTGCTGCACGCGACTAATTGCCTGCCACTTTCTTAAAAAAATAAAATAAATTAAACAGAACTGTCGTTAACTAATCGTTTATTTATTCCATCGTGATCGCAGTTTAATTTGCGGTTCTCTTTGTCGGATAATATTTGCTCTTAAATAATAAACCATCGTCTCTAAAACGCAACTTTATGCTTAATACGCAACGGCTACAAAATGTCCATAGTTAAATATTAATTTTTTGAAGTACAATTAAAAGTTTACCAAAACTATGGGTTATTTCTAATCTATCTTTGATGAAGGGGGACGTCCCAACACATTACTTAATTAAACAAAATAAAATTAAATAATCTAAAATATACAAATTCTCAAAAAAATAAATAAACTCGGTATCATTGTAAATAGGAGTAAATAAATTTTACTTTTTTTTTTTTACTTAATTAATTTTTTATTATTAACTGATTTAAATTAGAAATTAAATTATAATTTCTTTTATAATTTTTTTTTTATTTTGACTATTTAATCAAACTATATTCTTGTTTATGTATATCTGAGGCTCCTTAGCCCACATCTTTGTCTCTCTGTATTATTCTGAAGGGACTCGTCCCAGAATAAATAAAGGATTATTATTATTATTATTATTAAAAACCCAGAGACAATAATGTTGGAGGATTATTTATGTTTTCTATTCTTAATTATAATTTATCCATACGATTCTTATTTATTTTTACCCTAAACCACGGGTGGGGAACTGTTTTATCATAAGAGGTCGCAGTAAGGTTAGGCAATGTTAATGGAGGCCGCAATAATTATTTATATTTTAACGTTGCTATTTTTATTTATCATTAAATATCCAAACCCTCATACGTACACAAAACTTCACTATAATAATTTCCGAATTTTGTTACTTAAATAAATAAATATTAATTAGTTCTACCAATAGATTAATAAATATCGTACGAAAACGTTTGGAGGCCGCAAGTACCTTACAGAGGCCGCGGTTTCCCACCTTTGTACTAAACCGCCATTCATGCCAACTATAATACTTGATATGTCTCTATAATACTTAATTCTATATAATACAATACCTATTACAGTTCCCAGTATCAAAGCATAATTTTTAATACTTAATATTATTTATGAAATATTCCGGAATCATATTAGATTGTAATGGCAGTAGTAACATGATAGGTATATGTGCACAACTAAGAGGGCACACCCTATTCCCTTAGAGGTCCGGGGAGAATAACCTATCCTGCCATGAAATGTGGAAGGTAGATATTACGCCTCTCTTGAACTATAACAAGCAGGATTGCCCTAAATTCACTTCGTTAGTCACTTTGGTTGCACCATATTTGGCCTCAGATCTCAGCGACCAAATCCATCTGCAAAGGAGTTGTCCAGAGTATAATCAGGTATGCATCTATCTTGTGGAACCTGGACCCCTCTAACCGAAAGAAGAACAAGTCGGTATCTAGTCTGCTGCAGATCACTATAGCATTTATTATGACAGGATCTTACAAAGTTTATGAAAAACAGCATAATACATGGAACCTAATAATGAGTGCAGTCTCTGTTCAGCAATGGATCATGTGGGTCACTACTACTAAGAGGCTATTATAATGAAGATTTCTCCACCGTATAGTCTCCCAGATGGGTTCAACCTTACAATTGGATCTCGCGATTCCTCACCGATTAAGTTGCCGACTTTCTTGTTAAGTTGCATACTCATGTAGAGGTTATCGATCTTCTATTCATAAGTTATAGCATCCCGGGAAATGCAAAACATTTGAAAACGAAATGCACAAGATTGAAGCACCGAGGGCTAAGCTAAACAGCAGATCTCTACAGCACGGACTAAGATGAGTTTCTTCTACTCCTCTCTGCAGGGAACTACTGCCTGTACTGCGAAATTTGTAATACGGAAGGAAGAAAAAGTGTGTGCATAGCCCATTACGACTTGGAAACCTCAGCATAGAAACGGAAACGTATTGGACTGCACATAACTGAAGATAATGATATATTTCAAATTAAAATATCAGGATTTTTATTATTATTTTGTACAATGGAACTAGAATCCTATAATATCGTAAGGAGGGATAAAAAATAATTAATGAGAAATTTGAATTCTTAAGTAAATACTGGAAATTTATGAATTCAGAAGTTTGATTTCGATAAACAGGCAGAACAAAAATTGAAGATTAGGATTCGAGGAGGATTGAAGTAATATTTGATTAATTTTTAACAATAGTTGCTCTTTGATTGTAAATATATAAGCTTCATTTTTTTTCTTTGAATCGTCTTATTACTTGTATTTGTTCTTTATAATTGAAATTAACACTTGGTAATATATATTTAGTGATCAGAATTTTCGGTGTCAGATATCACTACTTTAGCGAGGAAAAAATGCATTAGAATTGAGTTGGATTAACTTCTTTTTTTTTATTTGTAATCGCCTCAACCATAGAGGGTCATTGGCGGCTAGTTTTCTATACTTTATTGTAATATTTCGTACAAATTAAGTATCGGAATAGGTTGTTGATTCCATCTTCGTTGTCTCTTAATATTTCTTTCATCGTTATTGGTAGTTTCAATTTTTGCCGAATGTTGTTGAACTCGTGGCACTCTACTAACAGATGTTTTACTGACTGCGGTTTATTGGCACACTTTTGTTACGTGGGTGGTTCCAGACCTCTGAGAAGGTATCC